GTTGTCACTAACAGTGCATTAAGACTGGTGTCTTCATAGATATTTCATTTTCATTTGACATATTTGACCCAAGGTCATTTTTATTTCACAAACTATTTCAGTCCCCACCAGGAAGCTTCAAGCAAAGTATCAAAACATTCAATTAGATTCTTTAAAATATGTTGGATTAGTTTTTGACATAAGTAATCCCTGTGGCATGAGAGTCAGTCAAGTCATGTTGTTTTTCTTCTTTTTTGTTTGTTTGCAAACTCTGATGGGAATCACACAAGGAAGTTTAGTTTGCCAAATATCATGACTGTATATTTTTTTACAAAGTCGTTTGAAGGTTCTGACATAATTAAACCTGGTGACCTTAGAATTAATTCAAGGTCTATTTTTGCATTTCAGATTCATCCAGGTAGTTAGCCCAATACCATCACTATAAACCTCCTGGTTCTTCAGAAGGAGACATTTGAAGATTCGGAAATATTTGACCTTGCAAGTTGGTCAAGGCAATATTTTCTTCACAAACTTTGTAGGGCTCCATCCCAATAAGCTACCAGATCAATATCCTAACACCAGGCCCATCAGGTCTTCACAAGAAGGCGTGTGAAGTTTTTTTGTTATATATTTGAACTCTGTGACCTCAAAAATAGGTCAATGTCATACTTTCCCACAAACTAAGTCATGCTTCATCTCAGGAAGCTCCCAGTCAAATAACAGGACAGATCCACAGGTGGTGGACACACTAATAGTATGACGTGTATATACTTCATAATAGTAAAGGTATATAACGACAAGTCGACACTATTATATATATATATTTTTTTTTATCATATTTTATTTTTGATTGTTCACATGTTAGTATACAGTGGAGTACATGACAATTATTACATTGTATTTCATATCGTCTCGCATACTAATGAATTCTATATCTTCTTTTTCATTTTGTTTCTTTTTCCTGTACAATAACAACTGCTTGCGTTCTTATTTTTAGGTAGTAAATAATTCTAGATATGATTAACATCAATATTAAGAATGAGCAAAATATGAATTTAAATTCAATTAATCAATGTTCAATGCTGTGCTGATAATGGACCACTTCGCTACTACTTGGTCGGCTTTTGCACGGGGATATGACAGGATACATTGATTTTCAATTAGCTTATAGTATGATATTGCAGAACGGACCCCGCCAATAGTTGGCATTGTATGTTTGTTTCTGCATGAGTAAATATATTTCTTTATGATGATGATACACATATTCACACTTTCATTTTCAGGAGTGTCATCTATTCCGAATATAAAGGAAATATTTGACCATGGAAAATCAATATTACAATTAGTTACAAATTGTTGTCTTAAAAATGACCATAACGCACGTATATGAGGACAATTCCAAAATAAATGAGTCAGCATTTCTCTATTTACCGTACAAATATTACAAATTTCTGTGTCTGTAATGTTCATTTTCATTAGTCTAGAGTTTGTATAGAGTATTCCCTGTAGCACTTTAATTTGAAAAGTGTGTAGTGTTGTGTCATCTGTTATATTGAAGGGTAGTTTGAAGTACATCTTCCAACTGTCATTTGTTATATCTAATCCCATTTTCCTTTGCCATTTTTGCATAGATGAAATAGGGAGATCTAGATATTGATTGACCAATACTGCATAAAAATCTCTAGTTATCTTTTCTTTCCCTTTTAGTATTTGTACATATTTGTTTTCTGGTTCATCAATATTTTTCTTGTATGTTTTAATCACACTTTTCCATGAATTTGGGATAGATGCTAATAAGCCATAGTACTCAACGAAGTTAATTTGGATATTATATTGAAGTTTAAGTTGATTCACATCAATAAATCCACCCCTGTCATTAACTAAGTCTTTAATGAAGAAAATATTATTTTGTACCCACCTTTGATACAGTACATATTGTTTGTTTATCTTAATTTTATTGTTAAACCATATTGGTTGTGGTAGTATTTCGGCCGGGGTTGTGGGTGGAGCACGCTCTATAGAAGCCCATATTTTAATAATATTACTCCAGAAAGGATTGAAGTGATCTGCTATGTTGTTTAGCCCCTCACTATTCATGTACCAAATTGACTCGCCCCCAAATTTTTGAAGTTTATCAGAAACTAAATTTTTCCAATGAGAATTGTTGTTTGGGTCTAGTATTTTTTTTATCCATGTCATTTTAGTGCTTGGCAGTATGATTTTACATGAGTGAGTCTAAGGCCTCCATTCTCGTATGAGTTTATTATTACATTCCTTTTAATCTTGTCAATTTTCCCCGACCATAAAAAATTAAAAACCAGTTTTTGGAGGTTGTTAATGAACACATCAGAAGGGTCTGGAAGTACTGTAAAAATATGTGTGAATATTGGGAGTGCTAGTGTCTTGATCACCGTGACTTTCCCTATGTAACTAAGATTTCTAAAAGACCTATATATACTATTATATAGTATATACACATCATATTACTATTAGTGTGTCCAGCACCTGTGGACAGATCCTAGGCCTTTCAGTTCTTCTTCAGAAAACCTTTGAATTTTGACCTGTCTGACCTTGAACGTATATCAAGGTTGTAAGTTTTTTTTGTAAAATGTTTCTGGCTTCATCGAAGGTAGCTACATGTACCAGCCAAATACTCTTGACATTTTGGTTCTTCAGAAGAACCTGTTACATGTTTTTGACATATTTGATCCCTGTGGATTTGTAAATAGGTCTACGATATATTATTTGACAAATTTTGTTGGACTCCATCCCAGGAAGCTACTAACCTTATACAGTATCATGACTCTAGGAAGGGAATCATCCTAGGGAGATATATCAGTTCCTCAGAAGAAGTCATTTGAATGTGTTGACATAATACACCTCTTTTTTCAAGGTCCCTATTTTTTGGGGAAATTTTGTCAGGCTTCATCCCATGTAACTATAAGCCAAATATCATGACTATAGGGCTTTTGGCTCTTCAGAAGAAATTGTTTAAAGGAAAAGTTGAGGACAGACAGATAGACGGATGACAGACCAGTCCTTTAGACCAGGTGAGCTAAAAATAGTGTAGACATCATACATGTCGTTAACACTTACACTTTTAATTCTACCGAGTAAACGGTTGACAGTTTTGTTACTGAAAGAGAACAGGGAACATTTTGTTACTGAAGATTAAACAGGTGACACAGTTTTGCTACTAAAAAGAAATTAGGGAACATTTTGTTCCTTAAAAGAAAATAATCTGTACTATTGTTTATTCAGATTAGACAGTGCACACTTTTGTTATTCCGTCTTTGCGTATTGCAGAGTTATCTTCTCTTGAGAGCAGGTATTGATTGTTACGTCACTTGTTTGTGAGAGTAACGTCATCAGTTTTTGAGAAAACGACGTAATTTTCTCACACAAACCAAATACGTAACAATCAATACCTGCTCCCAAGAGAAGATAACTCTGCAATACGCAAAGACGAAATAACAGATTAAACAGTATACATAATTATTTTGATACTACAGAGTATTTACATTTGCACTGCAATGTCACAACATGAACCAAGGAAATAGTGTTTCCAGTTATAATACTATGAACCCAAGCGAGTAGTTATAGGACCATGACCAATGTTGAAGTAAGATTTTACTCTGGTTTAGAAGTTCTACCATGAAAATAATATTGATTTATATTGAAATTACTTTACTTTATGTTTACTATAGTTTAGGCGGAAAGAATATAACATATATAAAAATAAAAATGAGCCTTGTCTTCGACCATGCCACAGGTCAGTGCTGTAATCCCAGAAGCAAGCTCTCACTAACTAACTGTTCATCCACTATATCTGATACCCACTCCATTTGAATGAAATCTCGCTATCGGTGTCATCAGGCCCAATTAACACTACTAGAGAAAACTGTCTTTCTAGCATTCATAATGAAGTCGACTGGCAATATCATGTCTTCTCCTGGTTCCTTTGGTACCTCATTATTTAAAATGTTTCTTCAATATCAACTAACAACTGCACAGAAACTTGCTCTCCATGGACATCGTATTACTCAATTTTCGAAATCAACAGACACGCCTCTGCTATGTGATGTCATTAACACGCATTGTGTCAATAATCATAATGATATTACAAAACATTATTGTGCTTTCGATGTTCTCTCATGATTACTACAATGTAAAATATGACCTACATTAAGAATGATAAAATGATTGTTTACCATTTAATTGTTTTAATGGATTATATTTTTAATGATTTTTTTCCCAGGAAAAGGCAGGTACCATGTACGAACTGTTTCTCCTGTCAAACATTCCAGAGATTCTTAGGGAGCTTTTTTGAGCTTTCAACGTCGTTAAAGGCGGAAAGACATGAAAATGTAAATTTAAGTATTAAAACTGCTTTCAGATGCGGTTCATGGGATAACTTTCGCTTTCTTCACCTATGGAATAATGCCATAGCAAAATTGAAGGCACGAAAATAACTGTTTGATTGGTCTCAGGTAAAAACACCTGACCAATCACTAGGCTGTTACCTGTCCTTTTAAAGATTACAAAGGAGCATCACCCGACTTCAAAGCCGGTCAATTTTACAGTCATGTGACCGCGGAATGTACATCAAAGGGTCAAATTAGTCTTCTAGTCTCGCTCAGAAGGTCGGGAACTGCACACTGAGCCTTCAATTTTGTCATGACACATTCCAGGGGTGCATAGAGCGTAAGTGAGTGAAACCCCTGGAGATTTGAGGATGGTCATAGTCTTGTTATGCAGTTGTCATTCATATTGCCTATTAACTGCATGTGAAAGCAGTTTAATGCTGAAGTAAACAGTATCCATAATTTAAGTTTGTTACTGAGCAATCAGCATACACAATGTTGTTACCACGGAGTCAACAACATTCATTTTCATTACTATTGCATAAACAGTGTACACTGTTGTTTCTGCTGAGTCAGCACTTGAAGTACTTGTACAAACATTGAGGTCAGTGACATACTTTACGAAAATCTGAACCTGCAAGAGTAAGTTATCAACAAGAAATGATAAGCAATCTCTTTAATTCTTTCGTCAATAAAACTTTAATGACTTCCTGATTTCATACATAAAGATATTTTTCATTCATTACAAAACTAATTTACATTCATTCAATCAAAGACCATCCAGTATTTACTTATACTTGCCATGCCAAATAAAATCATATGGACTCATCTCTTTTTTTATACCCATATAGTTTTTCCGTGCACAGTCTCCAAAGCTGAAAAGATTTACGTTAGTTTTCGTTAGTTTCTCTGCCACTTCTGCCTCTTGTTTCAGCAGCTCTGTAGTAACAACCCGCGAATTCATGGGTGTTTGTCCAGAGATATGTTTTAGGACGCGCCAGAGTTTTTGTAGTTCAATATCTCCACCTACTTCCAACAACATTCTGTTTGCCTTGACTGGGACAGAGAAGTCTTTAATAGCACCCTTACCAGCTCCCATACGCACACTTGCTGGTTTCCTGGTGTAAGGACGCCATGGATATTCTATCCTCCATACTGCATAACTCTTTTTCTCATCGATGAAACGATTTAATGTGGTACGAATGTTGTTCATGTGAGCGTACTGAAGATAACCACCATTCAAAGCCTGTAAGTAATATAAACAATCATTTACCAGCCTGTAAATAATACATACACAATCATTTTTTACAAATACAGGTGAAGTGGTGGCCATGATACTTTAAATTTGCTAAAAAATGCCTCCTTCCCCTATTTAAATGTTGGATTTGAAGATATATGATAATGAATTTGAAGTGTATTAATGCAGTATTTATCTTATGTCAATTAGGACTGCCTGGAATTGAACAGCACTCAGTTCAATATAAATTAAACCACGGCCACCTTGGTGAAAGGCAAGTGTGTTATCCACTACATCATTTGTGTATGTATATATGTATGACTATGAAAATAGACAATTTATATATAAAAAAAAGGAGTTATCTGACAAAAAAAGGCATCAAATTTTGCACTAAAATGTTCACTGTATTACCAGCCGGTATAGATTTTAAGGTGCATAGCAACAGTACAGCAGTGTGTAACGTTACAGATTGTTCAGAAATAGTTGTAATTGTTTAAAGCAGACTGTAAGACTTATTATGTTTCTCTATAGTGCCTCTCTGTACACCATTTCTTTCTGAAGGAAATGTGTAACCATGTTTACAGATTGTTCAACTATTGAGGATGCATAATTATTCAGAAATAGTTGTAATTGTTTAAAGCAGACTGTAAGACTTATTATGTTTCTCTATAGTGCCTCTCTGTACACCATTTCTTTCTAGTTTGTCCAATGCAATAACTGCCAAACTCAAGACAGAGAATGAAGTAAATCACATTTTCTTATTTACGATTCATGCTGTTTTCGACTATCCACAATTTTCCAATTTTAAATGTCACAGACTCAGCTGTTATTATATGTTTACAAGTTCCATAGATCTGTTCCCTGCATGCACTGACTACTGGAGTTCTTGTTTCTGACAAAAGTGCTGCATATGGGCAAGATATTTCTTCAAATCTTTAGGCTGGCAGTAACTCGCAATGGAATTTGTATTTTTCCGAAGTTTGTTCTTCCATTTAGAACCATCTAAAATAGTCATCTTTTGTTTTATCTTCCCTTTGACTTAGGGATTTATTGCGTTTAATATAAAGAGTAATCTCTCTTTGTATGGATTTGATGCAACCGTCATATGTTAAAAGACATGCAGATTTGATGAATTTGAAGTTTTTAGCTTTGTAACCAGTGTATAAGTCTAATGATGATCATAAGTTTCATCAAAATTAAGTCCTCTTTGATTACATTATTGTGCAGAACTTTCAACCAGTACATGTATGTACTATGTACTGATATGTTTCAAATTCAAACTCATCTTTACCCTTTGTAAATGAAACATGCTAACTCATTCACCCCTGAAATTTCATAATGAACTATTCCAACCTGGAAGAGTTCAAATGTGTCTTCAGGGGTGAATGAGTTACTAAAAATGTGATCAACATCACATATTACATAAGCAACCTATCATGCAGACATGAAGGGGCGGATAGACAGCTGAAAGGACAGACGATTCAATTTCATTTCTATAAGGCACCCATGGCCACATTCACCAAATCTAGGGTCCTAATGATAATTTTTCAATACTTGATAGTTCTTTTTATCCCAAGTACTTTTGATGATTGATCTATTAACATAATCAGAATAAGATTCTTCAGTTTGCTATGAATAATAATGGCTACATTTGTTTTGAACACAAACAGGAATTGAACAATTATTTTTGCAAGCTTTAGAAAGTATTTGTTTCTTTTGTCAAGCAAAGAGTGCATTTCAATATGCCCATATTGTTACCTGCTGTTACCTGTATTCCTACATGCCAATACTGTAACTCGTTGTTACCTATATTCCTATATACCCATGCTGTAACTTGTTGTAACCTGTATTCCTATATATGAACATACTGGAACTTTTCATTTACCTGTATTCCTACATGTCCATACTGTAACTTGTTATTACCTGTATTCCTATATGCCCATACTGTAATTTGGTGTTACCTGTATTCCTATATGTCCATACTGTAACTTGTTGTTACCTGTATTCCTATATGTCCATACTGTAACTTGTTGTTACCTGTATTGCGATATGCCCACCCTGTAACTTGTTGTTACCTGTATTCCTATATGCCCATAATGTAACTTGTTGTTACCTGTATTCCTATATGTCCATACTGTAACTTGTTGTTACCTGTATTACTATATGTCCATATATACTGTAACTTGTTGTTACCTGTATTCCTATATGTCCATACTGTAACTTGTTTTTACCTGTATTCCTATATGCCCTGATGCCCACCCTGTAACTTGTTGTTACCTGTATTCCTATATGTCAATACTGTAACTTGCTGTAGCCTGTTACCTGTATTCATATATGCCCATACTGTAATTTGGTGTTACCTGTATTCCTATATGCTGATACTGTAACTTGTTGTTTACCTGTATTCCTACATGCCCATCCTGTAACTTATTGTTTGCCTGTATTCCTATATGCCCGAACTGTAACTCGTTGTTACCTGTATTCCTATATGCCCATCCTGTAACTTGTTGTTACCTGTATTCCTATATGCCCATACTGTAACTTGTTGTTACCTGTATTCCTATATGCCCTGATGCCCATACTGTAACTTGTTGTTACCTGTATTCCTATATGCCCACCCTGTAACTTTTTGTTACCTGTATTCCTATATGCCCTGATGCCCACCCTGTAACTTGTTGTTACCTGTATTCCTATATGCCCATACTGTAACTTGTTGTGGATGAGTTCTGGTCCCCTTATCAATGACAAGTCCCTGGGAAGCCTCCTGATTTTGAAAGCACCAACTTGTTGATTTCCTTGGACAAACTGTGGGGTCTTGTCACCAATGTACAGACGGCGATATTTTTCAGGCAAATCTATTTCTAAAAAAAAAAAGGAATGTTTTGACAACTTGTATAATAATTCATTTATATCGTAAAGAACCACAAGAAATATGTTTTAAGTATATGATTTCCCCTGCAATTTGTTTCCTTCAAATTGATATACTTTAAAAAACATTTTCAGCTGACAAGAAATTGATACAGTTTATACTTTTACATTAAGAGGTAAGTACTAAATTTAGTATTTTGTCACAAGTAGACATTACATTTAGGTCCATAAAACTACGTACTTTACTTAGAGACAGACTATTTTTACCCCTAAAATGTGTCCTTAAGCCTACTGGTTCAGAGAGATCGCTCAATGAACCATTACACTAAGCTTGTTAGAGTTTAATTACCTACTAAGATTTGATTATATTTATAAACAGCTCTTCATACTTTTTGATACCCAAGTGAATGGACTTGAACATAATTGCAATTAACAGTATGCTAAGATATGGCATCACCTCAACATCCTGGTACCTTGCGCTTGTACCTTAAATTTTAAAACAGTACATGCATTTTTGTTAATGACATATTTTACATCACACATTTATTTGACAAGAAATTGAACAGGATATTAAAATGAATGCACTGGTATAGTAGAACCAAATGATGAGGCACTATATATATACATAAACAGAATGTTCAACTTACCTTTTTGCTTGGGTAGTGTAAGATTTTTAAAAGCTGCTACCCGAGTCATCTGGAAAACACCGGCTATTTCTGAAATTGATTGATACGTACATAATAAAAAAAATATACAAGCACAAATTAAAAACAGATTTATAAAATCTGTGCATTATAAACAATTCTTTTTTTCTTAATTAATTAAATACATCTAGAATAATTCATTCCACAAACCTCTCAAACTTTTAAACCCCATTGAAGTTGATGACCAAGAAAATGCACATACCAGTTATCAGAGTTTGAACAGGAATTTTTGCTTTTTAGGGCCTTTCCAAGAAAAGAAAAAAGGCATAAAATATCCCGCCTTTTGCAAATTCTCAAAAAAGTGACATCCAAATGTGTAACCAGTGGATGTCTCTAAGCTCACTATAAAAACATTTGACAACCCTAAAATCTAAAACTGATCAGTATTCCGAAAATCGTGAATTTAACTAAAATAATTCATTTCCTGGTATATGTAACTGCTAATTTCATTTTTAACGAAAATAAAACCACCAAAATCAATGCATAACCATAATTGAATGATCATTTTGGTCAGATTAAAGGCTCATTTAGCCCTTTCAATTATTTTTTTGTTAAATTTGGGGCTTTCAGGGCCTTAATTTTCATCAATTTTAGGACATCTATCTTGGTTTTAAGTTGTTTGGCCTCATTTATGATATGCAATATATCATAATAGATGCACAAACACTTAATTCAGTCTAATGCCTATTCAGTGGTCAATTCAAAGCATCTATAATGAACAAGATACAAAAAATTATGATATCCCCCCTGCAGCCACCCTTCCCATCAGCTGGTCATGCACCTACTGAGCATATTTCTCCTATTAAAAAAAAGGAAGTACTAACTTTCTATTCCCTGCATCAATTGCTGCATATTACGCTAGCTGCAATAACGTAGCTTCTGACGACAAACAATATATATGTTGGACAGAGGCAGAGAAGGCTTTTAGATGGCAACCATAGTCCAACAGATAGAAGCAAACTTAACTTGGTAGACTAGTGCACTAAGTAGAGTTAACACTGAAGTGGACTGAAGGTTCACATCCATGTGCACTGGAGTTAACTTCGATCAGTGCACAAGGTAATTTTCTTTATCATATTGTTGGGGTAGTATTTGGTATTTAGACGTGCTCATTCCACAGGCGATCAAACTCACGATCCCATACTTCCTAATCAGACGCTTTACCACTGAGCTAAAGGGAAAATCTCTCTAGTGCAAAGCTAGAAGACGACTCTAATCGTTTGACTATGTTTACAATTAGAACCTATCTACCACACAAGCATGAATTCGAAATGGATACTGAATTATATGGACAAAAATTAGTGTTAAAATTTGTTATACGCCCTCTAAATATATAAGTCCTTGTTTTATAGAAAGACAGAATGTCCCTAAGTCCTTGAGGTGCTCGCGGGTTCTGGAATCACATCAGTGATTAGTCCGAATTATTCTGACGTTTTATCGACATTTTTCATATCGGTCTGTCGTTATATGAAAAAAGTCGATAAAACGTCAGAATAATTCGGACTAAAGTATAATCAGTGATTATAAATATACAGTAACATTATCTGTTTATGTATCGCACCGCCCCCCCCCCCCCCCCCCCCTTTTTTTNCCCCCCTTTTTTTACCAACCCAATTATTTATTATCTCAGTGATGTGCACTACCTCAATAGATCACCTATATTCCAGAACCCAAGCACCTGTGGATACTACGTACAGTAGTGATGTTTATTGCCCCTCCCCCCCCCCCCCCCCCCCCCCAAAAAAAAACAACACCAAAATACACCGGCTATTTTTCTGTGACGAATACGTGCACAATGGACGCACAGGTAAACATCATTTGGAATATTGGAATAAAGTATTTTCGATCGACTAACAGCTGATATATAATGAAATAGCTAACCTATGTGACATGTGTGGCATTTACTGCCCACATGTCTGACGATCGTGAGCATCTTGCAGTGACCACTGACTCCGGCTTGTGTGGAACGTCACCGGTATTTGTGTGTGTACTGTAGGGGAAGTAACTTCAATTGTTTGCCTAATTACTGCCAAATAGGAACGCGCGAAAGAACTTCACACACGAATCAGACGAAATCAAAGAAAGGTGAAATATAATAGGCCAAACGTAGGGTATACTTAAAAGATTACTGATCATTTTATGGGTTTATATTATTATAACATAAGAGGTCGCTGGTCGGTCTTTTTTTCTATCGGATATGATTTTGCCGACGAATATGATCTAGATCTCGCCGTGTAAAATCTCTAGGCTCTAACATTGGAGTAAGGTTTATATCAAAACTCAGTAAAACCTCTCTGCACTAGGCTGCAGTACTGTACCCTTTCACTTATATTACATCCTTAGCTGGTTCCCTGTGGATGAAATGAGCCACAGGGTCACGTTACAAATGTCTGAAATACACATGCTACTGTCAGTATACTGATATGGGTCACAACACACATAAACATATGTTCAGATGTTTATGTGTGTTGTGACCCATATCAGTATACTGACAGTAGCATGTGTATTTCAGACATTTGTAACGTGACCCTGTGAATGAACCTCAATTAACACTTTGCCACATCACACAGATGCTTGACGCTTTATTAATATGATGTGTCTGTAAATATAATAAAAGGGGAAAATGTACGGCCAGACCGGGGTTCGAACCCGAACCCTCCGAACTCTTAGACGGACGCTCTACCATGAGCCAAACGTACACCAAATGCTTGAAACAAGAGTTGCCCTTCTATACAGAAATGTTTCTTAAAAAACTGTTCATTCTTATATACATTATATTATATAACATTATTGATAACTACTATTAATGAATGTCACATTGTGAAATAATCCATATATATATATATGTGCTGAACTTTGTAACCAATCTCTGATCAATATAAGCAGCGATCCACAACCCTGTTGCAATATATCACCAGAACCCTAGCTTGTGGCGATATTGTCGCATGTGCATCCGAACATTCTGGCTATATCGCCACAGGTGCGCCAGAATTTGCTTTCGAAATCTCAACACGCTGCGATATAGTCGCAATATTTCTGTAAGGGTGGTCACAGGCACAGGGGCATGGATCAATTTACTTGTAAAATAAAAAATAGGGGTCTCCTATACAATATCCTTGCCCCTGTGGTCACAGGCACCACTGTAACAGTAATGGAAAAATGCACGGCCAGACCGTGATTCGAACCAGGGACCTTCAGAACTCTGACGGACGCTGTACCAATTGAGCTACTTTGTCGCCAACGATCGACCCAGTCCAGATCTGCTACATGTTAATTTGTTTTTATACTATATACATACAGCTGTATATATACTACATATCGTATTAGCGTGTCCAGCACCTGTGTAATCCCTCAAAAGAGGGACATATTTGGTCAGAATTTTAAAGGGAGGAGGGGGCAGAATGGGTCAAATGCCATAGAAAAATGGTTAATATTTGGGCTCAGCTCCAGGAATGCTTTCGCTCATTATTAAGTTTCTTCTGGCCCTGACACCAGACTTTGGTAGACACTAGACAAATGACAAAATGTCTAAGTCTGGTGTCTGGGCCAGAGAAAACACGAGCTAACCTGCTCATAGAGTATCCCTGTTACAGATTCCTGAGTTTGAGTCCTGTGAACATGTCCAGCCCAGCTCAGAAGGTGACCAGGAACCACCGTGAAATGTATAAAGCTAAAACACCTCCATGGAAAGAAACATACAGAAAGGTATCATATCTTATTTGTGCTGTAATATATATACTTCTCTGACAAAGCTTCTTTAATTCAGGTTTGTTTGGAAAGCGATACATACATTAAAAAGGTGTTTTTGTTGAAAAATAGGAAGAAGAAAAGGAAAAAAAACACAATTAGCTTGAATAATTATATTTTAATGAGCAGAATACTAATTCACAACATAAAAAATATTAATTTGTGAAGTTTATCATCCAATCCAATGTTGTATTACATGTATAATGTAATATTTATAGACTAAACAAATACTTGTTGATCTGAACTCCATCCAAGCACTTTGAATTCAGCAAACCCCTGCTGTGCTTATCCAAATTTAGTCTGAATTCTACCACTTTGTTTAGGTAGATTGAGTTGTATAATTTGTATTGGAATGTTTTATGGCTGCAGAGGTGCCTGGAGAGGTTGAGACAAAGCAGAGAAAAACTACAGGCGAAATTTAGAAAGTTGGGGGATATTGACACCAACAAGACGGAAGATGACACATTCATTAACGACCTAATGAAAGACGAGCTACAGGGCATGAAAGAGTCATTGAAGAACCCTGCATCACAATCAGCAGAGGTAAGAGCTAGGATTTGTGTATTGTAACACATGAAGTATTGTAATACTGAGTTATATCATGGACTTAGATAGCAGCCTGATTCCGTAGTTATATATATCATTTCATGTAAAATTGAAAAATGTGATCAGAAATACAGTTCATGTACTATGTTTTTCCAACTCAAAATTGAAAGAAAGCTCAAAGACAACTTTGATTAATAATACCAGTATTATTGTGCTGTGAAGTTTTAAGCACAAATACACCCTTGAAACTGATGAAAATCTCAACAAATCACCATATAAGTGAAAGTGTTTTGAGAAGCAAAAACTATGTATTGAGTTATTATTATCCCATTTAAGGATCTCTGCCCCACTGGTTTGTTAACTAAACATTAGTGCTGTTCCGATTAATCAATTTAGTCGACATCTGTTTGTTTGTTTCTTAAAATCAATTAATCGATCATTGTTTCCCATGATCCAATGCGGCATTTCCCATTACCGGGGTATCCATCGCAGCATTTCTGAATACGCAGCATAATGGACAATACAAACATCATTAATTTCTTTTCAAAGTACATGTTTTTCAATTCTTTAATATAGGTTTCTGTCAAAAAACATCTCTTTTGTATGAATGTTGTGCGTAATTAGCGAAATTCTCCGACATCGGATTTCCCCGGAAAACGAAAGTGAAAGTAGATTTTGGAAAACGAATATAAACTTAAATTCCTGAATTTAAGTTCAGTTTGATTGATCATTAGTCGATCATCAGACACTTGATCGGAAGTGATGATCGAGTATGATTTTAAAGTGATTCCCAACACTACATGTAGTAGACATTAACCTCCCCTTAATTTCCTGTTGGCTATAACTGTAGCATTTATAATTATGCCAGGACACTTCTGTTGATCAGGTAGCTCAATCAGTTAGAGAAGTAGCTAGTATAACAATCAGGGTTTCGGATTTCGGTCTAGGCCTGCTGAATTTTTCTGCTCAAAACACTCTTTTTGTTGATTATATTTTGTTTATTTCATCTTTGTTATTTTTCTGAAGATTCCAGCATTAGATGGTTTTCTTTTTAGAAATGATTTATCAAAGCTTTTGTCATGTTGGAAAAAGCTGTTTTCATTTTGTAGTTACAATTTTTGGCAATATGTAGTATGGGATCCTTAAAAAGCAAGCAAAGAAAAAAAACCTCGCACATTGACCCTTGAATCAAATTATTGATGATATGTATCTAATATTTCAAATCAGTTCTAGAGTTAAATGATTATATGACGATAATTATTTGCTAATTGCAGGTTGATGACTTTGATATTGGCGACCTCACAACAGACATTGATAATGTGTTGTCTTTGTTTGAAGACATACAAGCAGAGCTCAAACTAGAAGGTATCATTAAATGTTGTGTGTTATAATTTTTTGTTTACATATGCATGTACTCATAAAAACTCTTATATTTTTATTTTAATATTTGGCTCTGTACAAATTAAGGATTTTTTTTTATCCTTCTTCCATATAAACTTTTCAGAGGTGCTGCAGAGCATTACAGCTCTAGGGTTAAATATATATTTCCTATGACACATGAGGATGTACTTATCATCGTAACATTTATATATGCCCACTGAAAAAGATTTATTTTGACAATTTAAGTCAAAAATTTATATTTCTATAGATGGTCAGTGAAGTCCCTGATATTTTGGTAAACCCACAACCATGTCTTTACTATATTTCCTCTCTCTCTCTTTCTATTATATATAAAATAAATAATTAGATATATATACATTTTATGTGAATATCTACATGTACGTATTGCATGAAGTTGCTGTTATAATTGATGTCTAATGTTATTTTAGAGCTGAAGTTGATAGAAGAATTTGAAAGATACGAATCAAGTTTGAAAATGGAAGAAGCCAATTTGTGTAGTGCCATTGAAAAGCTGTGTACAGAAGAAGTTATTTGTCCAGTTTGTCAGAAGTAAGTAGTCTAGCATAATTTAACAGAAAAATCGTTTATGTTCCCTGCAAAATGAAGTTGAGAGAAGAAATTAAAAAAAAATCACAGTGAATTTGCCAAAATACTACTGGACAGATTCTTAATGAAAGTATATATATGAATATTAATTTGCATTAGTTTAATTTTAAGATTTATTCCTGTAAAAAAAATGTTTTTCCTTACAGAAGTCCTTTATTGATCAACAAATCTGTGATATTTTGTCAGTGTGGAATGAGAGTGAACACAGAGGTAAGTATATTTCATAAAACCTCTTGTTTGTATTACTCCCCTTTATGTACAACTATACTGGTATATTAAACATAACCTGACTACTTCTGATAATTATATCTATATATCATGTATAATTATATCTATATATCATGTATAATTATATCTATATACCATGTATAATTATATCTATATATCATGTATAATATCTATATATCATGTATAATTATAAAATACTACTACTGCATAGGATTCAATGAAACTTATGCAATTTATCTGTATGCCAGGAAGGTAATTCTGAAATTATTTTTCATTGTGAATGGTATTATTCTATTACCTGAAGTTAGAGTTAGTCCTCAAGAGCCTGCAGCTTGCAGTTATAGTTAATACAGGCCAATACAGAGTATATTTGCGTTATTTTGACAGGAGGACTGTCTGACTTTGGTGCATGTGAAGCACCTACTGGAGGAAGGGATGATGGGTCACACAGCTGTGTGTGAAGGTCAGGCAATCTTTGCTGTCGTACAGGATCTAGGCCCTCAGAACCTTCTCATGTCATGCAAGGTGAATATAGGCATTTTGATGTTGATAGGGCCAGGGGATACTTTTTCAATGTTTTAGAGCAAATATTAAATCTGATTAAAACATGATTATATTAAAATATAGTTTTGTACATGTTTTGGATATCAGAATTCTTAAATTTTGCTTGTTAAAACTTACAAGCTAGTCCAGTATTAATGAAATTTATGCTTGCCTATTTAACCTGATTCAGGATTGTTTTAAAGTTTTGTGTAGCAAGGGAAAATATTTTTTACAAATGTATTTTTTTTTACTGGTTTTGAATAAATCCTTTCAAAAGACCAGTTGTATTGGTGTACATGTGATGTTTATGTGATGTACACATCAGATGTGAACATTTCAGTGTTCTTGTTATAGCAGAGATGATGTTTAGTGTACATATGTATAACGGATGACTGAATACATTTTCTGAATTCAAAGATTTCAATTCAAAATCTGAAATGTTTTGGAGTAGGTTTATTTTCCATGATTGTTGGCTTTAGACAAAAAAATCATAATATTATTTTAGATCTGCTATGATTTGGTATTATTTATTTAATTCACAACTACTTAAATACTGAAAGTTGGAATAAAATATTAATTTATTCCGTACTAAAATGGTATGCTGTCTGGTTAACTATTGTAATTCCAATCAATTTATTCCTCACATTTTTCAATGCTGCACAGGTTTCTTGTGATTCTATTGTATATTCCCTATTGTGACATGACCACTTATCCACTGTTGATTCTTTTCAGTCCTGTGATTGGATGTCAATCATCATATGAATGATCTCCGAAGGTTGATGACGAAATGTTTAAAAGATCTGGAACAATTTTCCTTGTCAATAATTAGGGACAAGAGAAAATATTGTTGTATGAAGATAAAAAGATTATGTCAATTCGGTGGTCCTGTTGATAATTTCCTCAGGAGAGTTATTGTAAGGTGAAGATACAGCGGTGTTCATGGCACTGACTTTATCTCTGACATCAGACATCAGTCTCAAGTAGAAGGATGTGCTGGGCAATGCCGTCAATATCTCTGAGAGTCTTCAAACATGTGAGAATATTATAACACTGGGAGAGACTGGATGGGCGATGCTGTCAATATCTCTGAGAGTCTTAAAACATGTGAGAATATTATAACACTGGGAGAGACTAGATGGGCGATGCTGTCAATATCTCTGAGAGTCTTCAAACATGTGAGAATATTATAACACTGGGAGAGACTGGATGGGCGATGCTGTCAATATCTCTGAGAGTCTTCAAACATGTGAGAATATTATAACACTGGGAGAGACTGGATGGGCGATGCTGTCAATATCTCTGAGAGTCTTCAAACATGTGAGAATATTATAACACTGGGAGAGACTGGATGGGCGATGCCGTCAATATCTCCGAGAGTCTTCAAACATGTGAGAATATTAGAACACTGGGAGAGACTGGATGTACAGGTCATTGCTACCACTAGCTTGCTCACCAGAAGTCGGAACAGAGGAAAAGTTACATAAACTTATTTGTTGTATACAGTAAGCCTGGCTGAGATAATGATTTCTCCCTCAATGACTATATGTTTCTTTTTGGATTGTGTTTTTTGTTCCCTTTGTCTTTCATTGATATTTTGTTATTTGTTTCAAACATTTGCTGTGAACTGTAGTTTTTTAACCAGGGCAGCTCAGGTTATCTGTATGTGTGTTGTTTGTCATTCCTTGTCACATGCTCATTTGACTGGTTTGAAATTAGATAAAAGATAAGTAGTGCTTATAAATATGTTTTCAATTGTGTATTTGCCATGCCATTAAATGAATGTGATATTAGAAAAAACGATTTATACATTTTGGATATATAATTTATCACCATTGATCCATGTTTTACTAGTCAATCCTCATTCCACTTGTATCAATATACATGTAAATATATTTGTTGAAGTGTAGGATATCACACAAATAAGTTTATTCACATGTATAATCAAAGAGCTTCAACAAATAGGTTATATTTGTACATAAACATAAGATTTGATATATTCATAATCATCTCTCACAATTTATAAGTCTGGAATATACTTAACACATATATTAAAGAAAAATAACTTTTTTTTTGTGTCAAACGCAAAACATTATCTTATGCATGTAACATATTGAAAAGTATTGTGAAGCTACACAGCATCATGTTATTTAACAGTGATAGAAGAGAAAAAACATGGGCAGGGAGTGATGAGTTATACTGGTAGCAGTTATTGAATATAAATTTTAATATATATGTACAATTACCTGTGCAACTTGCAACCTACCAAAAAGTACCTTTATTCTATACATTGCATTGATACAATGTAAAATTGAATGAGAAATCTGAAATCTGAGATTATTTGAAATGTGAAATTGTATTGTGAAGTAAACAATACTCATAATTGACTAAACTACAATGATACTACACTGCAGTACTCTATATTTGATAAATGTTGTTGTATTCCATAGTGCATATGACTTAAGTGAACTATTAACAGAAACATTACATGATATATATATATATACAAGTGAATAAAAGAATTGTATCTGATGTGTGCCACACATGTTGAACATGTTCTAATAAATTATTGTTTGTTGAATAAAATCACATGTTTGTGTCACTTCCTTTATATACAGTGAATGTTTAAAAACCTCATTCATAACATGGTAACAAGACTCGTACAGCATGATACTCTTACAATGGTTACA